GGCAGAGGTGCTGTAGCAGCATTTCTCACTGTGAAATGCGCGGACTTGACACATAATTAGGTCTTCCTGAATATCTACTGGCTTCAAAAATGAATGGTCCTCCCCAAATAGGGCCAGGCCACCAACATACCCAAGTTTCTCACTGTATGCAGCCAAGTCAAAAGCAGGGGCAAGCAGTTCTAGGTGTGTCCACTTATAATCCACCAAGCCGTGAGAAACACCACCTAATGGGAAACCGGACGTTGGCCAATCTCAGAGGGACCTGAAGACACTGGCAGAGCCTGTGGCCTCTGAAGGGACCTCCCAAGGCCAGGAATCATTTCCTGCTAGAACAAGGAGAGGCACTGTGGGGAGGTTCGCAGATACTTCAGAAACTGGTCCCCCCCCACGATTAAGGCAGCAAACATGGGGGAGGAGGTGGCAGAGGGGGCTGCTGGGACACAGACAGGTGGAGCTGGGGGACATTTTTCTGCTCTCTGCCCCAATCCTACACCCAAGCTGAACCCTCCTGCCACCAGGCCAGCTTGACAAAGTCTGAACAGAGGCTGCCATGCTTCCCTCCGTGAGCCTCTTTCCTAGTACGCAAACCTTAGTGAGCTCCTCAAAGCCACCTCTGAGAACGCAGGGCCTGGCCAGTCATCTCATTAGTTAATGACTCAGGTTACTGTTGGTTTAATTTAAACTTATTGTTATCATCAGGTATATCTCATAAACACTTGATTACTTAACGCATTCAAATTGAGATAAAAACTTCAATTAAACTGAACATTCGCTACCACCATTTAGGGTCTTTAAAAAAATAAAACTTAAAAACAAGTAAGAGAAGAGGAGAAAGCAGTGCCTCTCAGAAGGGCCTCCTACAGGGCAGACTTCTAATTAAACAAATTGTCAATTTCAGCACAATGAAAACTGATTTAGGGGAGTAAATTTAGTATTCTAGTCATCGAAAATAAGACCTCGCCTCGCCGGTCTCCGACAGGCTGATTTTATCCGATAGGGAAATGCGGAGCAGAGGAAGAAGACAAGGATAGAAATGGGGACCGGTGCGGAGGAAGACAAGCCGGAGCCTTCTCCTCCCTTCATAAATAACGTCTCTGCGGAATGCGGCGGGGCCGCTTTTCCAGCCCAGAGAAACTTTCCTTCGCTCCTCCTTCACCCCACCCCTACCAGATTGGAAAAAAAAATTAATCGTGTATGATGACAAACTTGGCTCAGCACTCACTGTACATACTGTACCCACAAGCCTGGCTGGCAGCCAGGCCTGGCTCCACGCCAGGACTACAATAACAAACACAGGCAGCTCGAGCCAAGGGGGTGGGGCCGCCGGCGCACAAGCTCGAAGACAGCAGCTCGGCCCGCTGAGCACAGGCGAGCGGTGGGGATGTGTGTGCCTGCACGGGGGACTCAGAGACCTTGGGGGCAGCCAGGACCCCTGCTCAGACCCTGGGCTTGCTTCTCGACAGATGGCTAGAAAGAAAATAAAGAGGTGCCCCCAGGCCTGGAGCAGTGCTGTTCTTCCAGGCTCTGGCCGCTGCTCCAACTCTTGATGGTCATCTGTAGAATGGGTCTGCTGTGACCATTCTGGCTGTCAGTTCCTCGTATGAAGCCTTTGTAACAGAGCAGCAAGCACACCTACATCATCTAAGTGCCTTCGCTAAAACAACATGGTGTTATCTGGCACCAGGGGCCTGGGATCAGCTAGAAGACCTGGCCCCAGCAGCCCAGGCTCACACCCCAAGGCTATCATCAAGCAGCAAACAACACAGCAAGTGCTCTGGCCTCACTAAGCCTCTGTGATATTCGTTTTAAAAGTCATATCCCAGCACAAGGGAGAGAGGCATACAGGACAAAAGAAAAAAAGACACAGAGACTAGAAATCTCAGCCAGGAGCCGTATGCCAGGGTGAATCAATGCACTACTATCACTCAGCACAGCCACCCCACCGCCAATCATCAGGGCAGTGACAACTGCCTCTCAAAGAGACAGATCACTGATGTAGCGAGCCTTCAGTGGCCACTAAGAGAGGCACAGGAAGAGATAAGCAGGAAGACAGGACCTAACTCCCAGACCCTCTGTGACATCCAGGTGACACCTCAGGACCTGGAAGTGGATCTCAGGAAGGACTGAAGTACACACCCCAAAGATCTGCCCGTCCAGGGGGAACAAGGTTTTGCAAAGCCACCATCTTGCCTGCCCTGGGACCACCAAAGCCCAGCCGAAGCATGAAATCAGTTCCTCACCTTTCTGCCACACCCACCCACAGAGACTGCAGCTAACTCACAGCAGCCCCACTGCAGGACTCACCTTCAATACGGGCCGAGGGGCTCAGGGCTGTTGCCAACCCAGCATGCCCCTCCACCATGCATAGTTCCCGTTGCAAGCAGGACTGGGCGGGGGCTGGGGCCCCTCAAATTGTTCATCCCAGGCTACACTCGTTCATTAGACAAATATTTATTGTTTCCAGTAATGCGCCAGGCATAATCAAGACCAGTACTGTGCCCGATGCGCTTATACTGTAGTCTCTTAGAGGAGAAGGAAAAGCCCAAGAGCCTGTGAATGTCAGGCACTGAGACAACCGCACAGGCTGGGCCTTAACACTCCTCTGAAGTAGGGTTAAGGGTTAAACACTCTCGCTTTACAGATGAGAATCCTGAGGCCCAGAGCCCAAGGTTGCATCATCAGAGATGGGTGCCCGACTCCTTCTGCCGCCTTACCCTGCCTCCCAGGCAGGAAAGATAAGGCAGGCCCCATAAATAACCGTAACACAAGGAAGAAAGCTACTGGCCCCTAGATAGCTTCAGATGAACAAAACATGGGCACTTAAGAGGCACAGTTATCCTGACTGGAGATGGAGAATGGCTGAAGATGACACTGAGAACGGACATTTGAAAATCTGAGAAGCGGGGAGAAGGGTCATTTGAAAGGGACAAGATGGGGTGAATGAAGCCAGCAGGTTCAGAACGTGAGGCCCACATAAAGCCAAGGAAGCAGTGGCAAAAAAAAATGCTTATTGGGGCTGCTGACGAAAGACAAGCCAGAGATGCTATTACGAAGGGGCTACTGGGTCCAGGGCAATGCAATTTTAACAACAGACTAAAATATGTCTGTGTCCCCACAGGAGTGTCCAGACATACACAGATGTATGTCTGGGCCAGAAAGCAAAAGAAACAAGACCGCTCAACCCAAGCACTGGAAAGGCTGAGGCAGGAGGATTACAGTGAGTTAGAGGCCAGCCTGAGCTACACAGCCTGAAAGAAAGCAACAAAGAAAGGATTTGCACTTGGCTCTCAGGGACCATGAAGGCATATCCAAACTGGTTGGCAGACAGCTCAGAAAACCACGAACTGAAGCCTAAACAATATGCAAAGATAAAGGGAGGCAAGAAGACACAGGTGCACAATGCTAAAGTAGAGTGAGAGGTGTGCAGGTGCCAAGCGGGTGCTGGATGCAGGAGGCCTAGCTCTGGACTCCTGGGTCTAGTCACACAGGTGGGGCAGCGTGAGGAGCTCAGTGGAGCTGCACTGCGGGGTCCAGTGAAAGCAGGAGGGGAACAGGTTTGGGGAGAGCGGGCCTGCCAAGATAAGACAGTGGCCTAGAGTTGACCGAGTTCCTGAGCCAGAAGAGCAAAGAATGGACCCAGAGGAGGGCCGGGGAGATGGCTCAGTATGATAAGCACTTGACTGGCAAACGCAAGGATCTGAGTTCAATCCCCGGTTCCGCAAAAAAAAAAAAAAAAAAAAAAAAAAAAATCATTTAAAAAGAATGGACCCAGAGGAGTGTGAACACTTTAGGAGGGGACACAAAGGCCAGCAGAGAGGTGGCATCCAGGAGTGTACAGCTACACAGGCAGGACAGCAAGGCAGGGGCAAGCACAGCACCTCACGGTGCTTATAGAACAGCACACACAAAGAGCAGCAGCAGAACAGGCTGCAGCCAGCCAGCCAGCCAGCCAGGCAGGTAGGAGGCCACTAGCGTTGGGCGATGAGGACATGGCCCATGGTGACAGCTTCAGGCGGGGAGAGGTGCAAGCAGAAGCCAGGGCATCTACTGAGCACCATCCGAATGCCAGGGACTTGCTGCAGATCCTCTCCACACATATTCCATCAGCTAGTCCTCAAAATGAAAACTGTGAGCTAGCAATCCCTGTACCCTTCAGATGCACCAACCAGGGCGCACAAGAGGAATCTGACCACAGTTGCACAGTCAGCACCTGCCACCAACAGGGCTTGAACCTGCATCTGCCAAGTCCACAGCCATGTTCCTTTCACCCACACTGACCTGGAGGGCCAGCAAGACCAAAGAGGCAGACAGCCCATCCCTCCCTCCAAAAAATGTGAGTCTGAGGGTGAAAGCCAAGATTGTTGGAGGGAAAGAGTGAGCTCTTGACTCGGAAACCTGCAGCAAAGCAGGTGACTCCACAGCCTGTAGGCCCGCACACTCCTTTCCTGCACCAAGAACACCCGGGCTGCCGAGTGCCAGCAGTCTCTCCCGGTTCCGAGCCTCGTAGGGCAGAGCAACTCTGCCCAAACATGAGCAAAATTGCCAGCAGTCGCGCAGGCGACCCCACTAGAATTGGATAAAATTAACTTGCAAAAGACAGCACGCTATAACTAGCTTTGTGTTCCAACCTTTCTATATCTATTTAATTAAAGGCTCCAGTATAATGTGAACCCAATAGTCAGATTCATTAGACAGCGAGAACCTAATTCCACAACTGTTTTGCTAATGAAACTGCAGTCTACTTCAGAAGGTGGATGACACAAGGCATGGGTGCCAGCGATGCCCCGGGAACCCTAGGGGAGCACGAGGACTGGTCTTATCTGACGGCACACACCACACCATCAGGGCGGCCATTCTGCTCCGTGAACCTGGAGGGAGCATCCAAGGGAAAATGAGCCAGACCCTGGTGGGCAGTGCTCGGAGGTGGGGGCGGGCAGGAGGGGGCCGCCTGTGCCCCCAGGAGCCGGGTACGCACGTCACGTCACGTCACCCTTGCCTACCTGAGTGAGCCAGCAAGTGCATCCTCAGTCGCAAGCTATCCAGGAATCGCTTTCCGCAGAGCTCGCACCCGTACGTCTTCATCCCACTGTGCAGCTTCCTGTAGGGGAAAGGAAAAGACAGGTTGCTGCTGCTCTGGATGGACAGAAGGCAGCCCACCCCCACCTGGGGGCTCTGTGGCCGTCCCTGTGGCGGGTGGACAGGAGGGAGGTGGTGGAGGGCACGGCTCTGCTGAGCGCTCATCCCCGAATGCTCCAACGGCTGCGGTCCCCTCTGCCCACAGACTGCTGCCAGGGGAGCAGCCATCCCCGTCCTGTCCAGGAACAGGAGAATGGGGCTCCTCCTACAGCTCTCCCCACCAGCACTCAGACCAAGCGGGGAACTTCAGACCTGATTTCAGAGGGAAGGAGGGAGGAAGGAAACAACACTGAGGAAAGTAAGGCAACCATCCTGCAAACTGCTGAACTAGCACAGAAAGAGCGTAAGTAGAGGCCTATCGGCCTGAGTACCGTGGGGCAGCATCGCACTCACTGCCCTGTGACTACACTCGCCTGGGTCCCCGACCGCACACCAGCTGCAAGCAGGAGGGCCGCACCTGTGTCCTTTTCCTAAGCAAGAACCATTACACTACAGTGACGGGCACAGAGGCTCCAAATCAGAGCTGGCGTCTTCATGAACGTAAGATGCTTCTCTCTTGGGGCTCCCAGATAGTCTTGCAATGGCAGTGACCCTTGGATACATCCTTGCCTTAAGGCCCAGCTTTAGAAGCATCTTCCCTCTGTCTGTCCCTTATCCAGATAAGAAAGTGGATAAATCATCCACTACACAAGCCAGAGGGGCCATTTCTGGGCTGGGCCACGTTATCACTGCTGGGAAGATGGAGGCCAGGCCTGCAACAGGCCTTGGGTCCACACTCCCCCCACTCCATTGGTTCTTCCCTGCCAGCCTTCTCGCCGGATCATGAGCCAGCAATGGACCTGGTAAGATACAGCAGTGGGGCAGGCCAGACAGTAGGGAGATGAGCGACACACAGGCATTCTGATTTCCTCTCTCCCCGCCCACACTGCTGTTCTCAGGCCTTGACTGCCCCTGCAGTAACCCCAGACCTAGCCTCCATCCCTGCCCAGGTCTCCGCGCCTCCCTGCCGGTTCCCCTAAGCAACAGGGCAGGCAGAGGTAGGATCTGTGGGTGGCAGGCAGACAGAAACACACAGCTCTCTGAGAGCAACAAGCCACTGCCATCAGCATGCTGATATGTGAAGACCATGGGAAAAGGCTGCAGAGCTGGAACTGACATTCGATAAAACTGCAGATGTGTACAAGAGACGCATGTATTCAAACTGGCAGTGCCCAAACAGCGACAATGAGGCTGAGCCACCCACTGCTACCCAACTCCAAACCCCAGAATGAGGACCCAGTACTGCGTCCACAGCTCAGTGCCCATGGGTAAGCCAACCTCAGTGCCACAGCCTGTGGGCCACTGTGGCATGAGGACAGCACACAGTACAACGTGTGCAGCATTCTCATAAAGACCTCGCACGGTTCCCTTCGCAGAACTCTTTCTCAATCATTGTTTTGTTTATGTGCTTTCCTTTTACCCTTAGCCAAAGACACATGATTTCTCAATCACACACACACACACACACACACACACACACGTGTGCACACACACGCGCATTCTCTCTCTCTCTCTCTCTCTCTCTCTCTCTCTCTCTCTCTCTCCCTCCCTCCCTCCCTCCCCCCCCCCAAGGCACCAACATCCTGTGTTATTTCACTCTCCAGCACGGCTGATACACCCAAATTGAGAAATATTAACCGTACAAAACATTTTAACTGAACATTCTCAACTCTGAATGTATTCCACCGGGGCACATCCTAAGTGTTTGGAGCAAAGCATGTTTTAAGTATGCATCTAGGAATGGATACAGTGCATACACCAGCACACATGCAGACACGCAAGCTAGTGCAGTGTCCCTGTCCCTAGGAATGGTGGGTGCCTGCCTGCTTTCCTAAACTGTGCCCCACCCAGCAGCAGAGGCTCTATGCCCAGGCAGCTACGGTGAAGCCAGCTGGTGGTAACAAAGTTTTCTCTTCACCGATGATTTGCTGGTGGCTCTCAGAGGTGGCTGTCAGGAAGAACGGAAGTGCAGATGCTCATTTGGTTTTTCCAAGAAGACTGAAGTGACCAGTGTTCAGACTCTGGGAACTCCAACCAGACTTCATTGCCCTCCGGGGCTTCCATCTCTTCTCCCGGAGGGCTCCTAATCAAATCCCTCATCTGATCAACACTCTGAGTAAGGCCATCACCTTTCCCTAGATGCAAATGGATCAGCTTGGCAACTGCTAGATGTGGCTTTCCTTTCAGTGGCCAATGGGGTGGCTCAGTGTGAAAGGTGACATCTGTCCTTGTCCCACAGAGGGAGCAGGGTGCGGGAATGATGGCCAGCAAGCAGCTAGAAGACCTGGATCCTCACCCTGACTCAAACGCTAACTTGGAATTTTCCCCAATTTTTCTCACTGGTGAAGGAATATGGATGATAAAATTCTGGCTAGAGATAAAACTGTATTATTCCAAAATCTACCCATATCCTTTCACCAAGCCTCCTAAGGACACCCTCTCAGGGACACTATTTTTCTCCCTAAGCCATGTCCAACTTGTCACTTGGTCCTTGACAACTCAAGCAGTCAGGAAGAACAGCAAAAGGAAAGCTCAAGGCCCAACCCAGCAATCCATTCCTTTTGAAAACTTTTACTCCAGGTCATCTGAGTTTCCTCTGCTACTCACTTGTTATTTATCTTTCAGCCTTCAGTTTTCCGGAACTCACTGTGACCTTTTCCCTGGAACCACTCTGTGGCTATAGATTCCCTAGCCTTCAGGAATGTTCAGGCACCATCTTCTCCAGTCCTCAGGTAAGGACACTGCCCTCCACACAAGTGTCACGCACAGGTGATCAGAGGGGAGCACAGCGGCTTTGCATGTCCACACCAAGTCCAAGGTCAAAGATCCCACCCCGCTGGCAGGGAAACTCAGGCAAAGAACACAACGTTCAGAACAGAAAGAGGGAACAACCCTAGGAGTTCAACAGCCCCCAGCACAGGCTTGCTGTATCTTCAATTGCTGTTCATGTGCCAACGGACAAAGCACGTGGAGAAACGGAGGCCCCTCCTGCTTCAAAGAAGAAGCAAATGGCAGAGCCGTCCTGAGCACACACAACAGCCTGGGCTACCATCAGTTTCTCCCACACAAGCCTCAGAAGAACCAGCATGGGACCAGCACTCCAGCTAGTTGCTGGAGCAAAAGTACACATATTCTATGCATTCGTGGTCACCTCTCGTCAAACCACAGCCTCCCACAACCACCGCCACCACAGCAAGCACAGTGCCATCAAAATCCCACGCTCCTCCTCTTCCTCCTTGCCGTATCTGCCGTATCTTCCCAGTCGCATCCTTTCTCTGTACACCACCCAACTGCTCCTGGATATATGAAGCTACCAGGCCCTACCACTGACAGAGGGCAAGAGGACAACTGGGGCCTTCTTTCGCTTTTCGGGCACCACTCCAGTTGGGGATGCTGTTCTTAAGCTATTACACTCTGAAAAGCAGCCACACTACCCACCCCCATTTTGAAAGTAGCCTCCTTCTAGCATGGCCCAAATATCTTCGTCCCGTACTCAGGAGAAGACTTGCCTCCTTCAGATGGTTAGGGTCCCTGTTACTTACTCCTGGGCCCCCGCCCATAGTGGTGACCCTTCTCAAAGAATACCTTGTGCACTAGGTCTGCTCTTCTGTCCAAAAAGACAAATTAAAAAAAATTAACTCTAACAGGTTTCTACCCATATTCTTTTTTCTACCTCTATTTTTAAGAAAGTGGAATCATTATGAGAAATTACAGCTGAGCAAGTCTGTGCCTTTCAACAAGTAGTGTAAGAAAAGGACCCATTTCTCCTCACTAAGGCTTCACCGGCAACCCTCGCTAGTTAAGGGTTAACAAGACACAAGCGCATCTCAACTATTTTCTGAGTTTGAAACCCCATTTTCTGTGTGATGCAGACTGCGAACTCCACCATGACAGACATCATGTGGATACTCCCTTTCCTTTTAAGACCGAGTAGTCCAGAGATGGTTTCATGCTGCTGAAGATGCCCCTCTAGGTATGCTGGAATCCAGGGTCATCCTCTACTCATCCTCTACAATAGTCCCAGGACAACAGCTTGCATTTGGTAGCCCGTTCTGGCGGCCTCCAAGCCAGTACCAGATCCTATTGTGTAGCACACAAGAATGGCCAATAGCCTGTTCACAGCAGTATAAACCTGGGCTTTAGAGTCACCTCTCATCTTCAGGGACCTTGTCACCCAGCTTACCAGGGACAGCCACGGAAGCAGGAGTGGCAGCATGGAGGGACCCACAGCGAGGCCCAGCCTCCCTACTTTCCCTCTCCAGAGGCAGATGGTCACAGCAGCTGCTACCCCGGGAGTGCACTCAGCCCACTTCCACCCCACATAGCCAAACACCAAGGGGACCAGGCTCCAGAGGCTAACTGCAGCACCAGATGCCAAGAGGAAAGGCCAGCAGCACTGGCTGGAGGAAAGAAGGAACTCAAGCCCCAGGACTGCTAAGGCCACATTTCTTCTCTCTGCCTGAGAGGCAAAGCTGGAGCAGCCCAACAGGCTAAAAAGGTTTACAGAAAGAATTCTCAGTTCCAACAGCCCTAGGGCTGTACTCCTTCCCTCTCCTGCTAGAAGCTGAAATTGCCTCACTTGTGAGTTCTGCTGGACGGACCAGCGCTGGGAACTGGGACCTGTAATTGCGGAGAGCAAGGGGGAGGGCACTCCATAGCTGAACCATGGATAATGTTCTCCTTGTTCTCAGCCTAACTGATCCATCCCTGAACCAAGAGTCAGACCAGGCCAAGGAGGCCCCACAGGGCCTTCCAACTATTCTGCCTACTCTTGAGGCTGCTCCACGTGCAGATGTTTCCCCAGTGCTTAGGGCTTCTGCCATCTTGTCCCGTGACCACCAATTTGACCTACTTAGTGCTTCTAAAGGATACCCAGAACAGAGAGACAAGAGAGAGGAGATTCTCTGAGATCCACACCGGGGT